GCGTGGGGCGTCCTAATCATTCTGATCAAATCGTCCACGGCGTCTGGGCAATCTTGCCGAAGTGGCGTCTCAAACTCCCACGAGTATTCGGAGTCGGGATATTCCCGCCACTTCACCAGATATTGAGTGTGACCCTGATGACGGCGTCGTTTAACAAGACGTTCTACGTGATAGTGGACGTCACCGTTCTCATCGAGAAGAGTCAGTGGCGGGCGGTAACGAACGGTTTGACCGCCGTCCGGTGACTCGTGATGCTCTCCGAGCCCTTGAGAACGAGGTTTTTCGTTATCGGAGCTCTGCTGAGCGTCATGCTGAAGTTGATTCTCGCTGTGCGGACGCTCTTGAGGATTTGAAGCAAGTCGTGCGCTGGCTGTCTCCCCTTGAGGACTACCGCGCTCTGTCGGAGCGACCCCTAGCCGTGGAGCAGGCGAATGCGTCGCTGCCTGCGATGGTGGAGCGCCTGGCGCCATTGAAAATGGAGGTTGTTGCACTCCGTGCTCAAAACCGGTCGCTGGTTCAGTCTGAAGGTCCGTGGGATCCGAACCCTAGAAAGGATGTTCTTCAGAACAATATGGTGGGATATACGAAATACAGTGCACTCGACTTGGTAGATGGATATTACCAATTGCTCATGAGAGCGAGTGACATTCCGCTGACAGCAGTGGGGACTCCGAGTAGCATGCACTGCGTGTGGCTGGGAATGCCCTCAGGGCTGTCAAATGCACCAGCAACATTTAATCGTGTTGTGACGCAGTTGTTCAGGCCCCACAGGGCGTATGCTTTGACGACATTTTTGTTTCCAGTCGTAGAGCACGATAGGACGGATGATAAGAACCGCATCGTCCATTCCAGAGTGGGTGCGTGCGCACGAACAAACTGTACGCCATGCAGATAAGTGCATCCTTGGCGCGGAAGAGATTCCCTATTTAGGGTTATTTATTGGGAAGCGTGGCCTTCGAGCGGATCACGCTAAGGTCAAGGCCATTGTAGAGTGGCCGGCTCCAAAACATCAGAAGGACTAGCGTAAGTGTCTTGGTCTCGCCAACTACTTGCACAAGTACAGCGTAAACTACGCAGAAATGACCCGGCCATTTTTTAAATTTTTTAAGAGAGGATGCTGAATGGTGTTGAAACACCGAGCAGCAGGAGACTTTTGACGGGGTCAAAGACAGCGTCCTGCATGCACCAATATGGCGCTACCAGACCCTGATCGTCCTTTCAGCGTCGACTGTGACGCTTCGGACTTTGCCATCGGCTGTGCACTGCTGCAAGCAGACGCCGAGGGG